GATGAAGTAATTGAATTCTAGAATTACTGACAAATATTTCCAGATCACTCCAAGACCTACATTCCTCGGATGACTGGAGCATGATGCATTCATACAATTACATTAAATTACATTCATACTATTTCTTTCATCTCATATATTCCCAAAGCAAATTACAAGCTGAATGAATATCCCGCTTTCTCTATTCACATGTCATTTGACAATAGGTTAAACACATTATGTAAGGTGATTCCTGATCCTTGACTCGTGACTATGGATACCCCTATCAGGAGCATTCATCTCTTTCATCTGAAAATTATCTCAGGCATATACAAGGTCACACTTATTTAAATTAAAGCAGGCACTCACTACTGATAGCTGCACTTTTGTTATTCCATTGCACACATGATTTACATCAACACTCAAAGAAGAATGACAAGAACAGATTATAGAACAACCCCAGAACTTATGATGACCTAAAATACAGCTTTTCAACCTGGAGAGGACACTTCAAGTGTCAGAAGAATTAAGATTGAAAATGGGAAGAATAAAACAAGACCATGCCTGCAGAAGGCAATGAGCCTTGAGCAAAGGGAAATGCCAAATCCCAGGGTTTAAAACTGCTTTTAGTGGTAACCTGATGGTCCAAAAGGGATATTTTCTTTTTACTTTTTCATACTTCTCTTCCAATAACTTGGAAAGTTATTAACAGTACTTGATTTAAGAAAGTAAAAGTGACCAGACAGATGTTTTTGCAATCTCTAATGTAGGGCTTGTAAAGAAAAGGGTTGTTGGAGGCTGGTTGTAAATAGTTACATGATCCCTGTGCATTTCATCAGTGCACATGTTCTGGATCTCTAGTGCCTCCAATCTCACTGCAAAAGTGACTCCAAAATCTGCTGGAGTCTGAATACAGCTCAACAGACCAGAGCCATAAATCATTTGACGTACATGCTTTATCCTTAAAACCTCAGGGCACAAAAGGAATCACCTCTCTGAAGCCTCTTAGAAAACAAAGCACACTTTTACAGACTGCATCCTTATGTGCTTCACATACTAAAGTTCAAGCTAATGGCAACAGTCCACAGGCATTAAGGGAAATAACAGCAATCAATGCTATTTTTAAAGGGAAGAGTGGGGGCGAGGGGTTAACATATGTGGAATTAGCTCTGGGCAAAATGAGAAGCCATTGCATCTAAAATCAAATGCATTCTCTGAACCAGACACCAGAGACCAAATTCCCGTGCAGACTCCTGCAGTCCAAGAGTTTCAGCAGAATTTGGCCTTCCTCTTAACTTAGCTTCATTAGGTCATATCATGCCATTGGTTTTTGTGTTGGATGCTCCACGTACTGCACATCAGTTGTTGGCACTATGTGGACAATTTCCCGAACTGGAGGGGGAGAAACGGGTGGTGTGTGTAAAAGGGAGAGGAATTTTTTTCCCATTTGGAATAATTTCTTAGAAGAGTTTGAGGGGGGAAAGTGATATTTGTATCCCTTCTACCAGATGTCACCAGTGACAACAAGAGCCAGTATTAAATATCTATCCATCAAATTCTTCTTGGAATTTTTTTCAGCGTCAGCTGGTCAAGAACCCATTCAGAAAATGGGGAAAGCTGAAATCTTCCACAGCCATTCTCAACCAATGATTCTTCCCTGAATAAGAATTATCGGTGTCTGAAACTTTTTCATGGAGGACATACACGCACAATTTGTAAAAAGATAAAAAACTTGTAGCAATAACTTTTCTTATCTTTACAAATGAAATAACAGCTCCTCCACACACAGAATCATTTTCACTGGTCTTTTGTCACTTTTTGATCACCTGCCTCGGTGCTGGATGCATTAAGGTCTCGTAGGTACCCCCCATTTGCCACTTTGCTGTCTGACCCTATGATTTATTAGTGACTGGCTTCAGTGACTGGCTGAGTTTGCCTTCCATCTTAGGGGGAAGTGCTTTGGGAAAAAGATGCCTTGTCTCTGACATTGAGACAGTCTCTGCACCGTCACCTCTTCCTGTGCCACCACCTCAAGCTGTGATGCCACTTGCACTGCCATCCCTGGCCACCCCTCAGTCCTGGCCATGATGACCCCTTGTGCTGACATCCATATGACCTGTCTTTCACTGTTCTGCTGCCTGGAGAGAGTGAGATCCAAGCTGACAGGCTCCTCACCCAGTGAGGCTACAGCATTCATGGAAGGAAATTGAGATGACCAAAATATTTCTATGAAAAAGGCAACTGCACGAAGGGACTTTTTGAAACAGCAACTGTCCAAACAATTTTAAAAAAAATAGAGATTGAAGGCAGGCTGACAAACTGCAAAGACACTCTTCACGTATTGTGCAGTGATGTTGCTATCAAAATTTTTCTCTGTATTCTGAAAGCAAAGATCTTTCATGTAGAGCTCAGGGACTTTTGTCTCTGAGACAGCTGGGTAGATGACAACCCCTTTGCTTCACACATACCCAACTAAACAGGTTGTCAGAACCTTGCAGAATTGTAAGAGTTTCTCTGGAAACAGATGAAATACCCTCCCCCAACCAACTGTTCCGATGGATTGACATAATATTATTTTACCTCCTGTAGCAACAAAGTGACTGTGTGGCATTTTTTTCAAAACACCAGATCAGACATTCTGGGATATCAAGAAGGCTATCAACAAGGCTATCATTTCCCTAAATGGTTTGCTACACAAACAGTACTCGAACAGGATACTTTTAATTTTTTTTGTTTAGTGCTCTAACAATGAAACTCTATCACGCGTAGTGTCTACAGATAAGATAACACGTTATCATATTTAAACATTCATTAAAGTCGTCTCTTCAGAAGTTACTCTGCTTCATTTCATCTGACTCCTCAGATCAAGCGTATCAGATAGTGGGAGGGTTTCTTGCCCTACATCATACAGAGAAGTTGGTGATTTCTGCTTAAATCAGAAGAAATTTAACATGACTGTTCTTTTTGTCTATCTGGCCACTTATCTTGTTTCGTTTGCAAATATCATATGTATTCTCTTGAGATAAAAATAGTGCAAGATGATTAGTTAGGCAAGTTCATCTGACACCATTCCCCCTTCGTGACGCTGAAATCTAAAATCTGTATATGGTATACAACTTAAAGTGTATATATATGCAAGTCCAGCTCTGCTGGAGACACACAGCAAGTACCTTCCTCTCAACCTGACTGCTTCCTTATCCAGCCAAGAAGACCACAAAGGTAAGCTGATTAGATCCTCTGCTTTCAGAAAAAGAAATACAAAAGCAAATGCTCCCTAAATGGGAAGTGCCTGTGCAATTAAAATATCTGTTCTTACCTCAGCTTCCAGTCTGTTGTATCTTCATAAGCTAACATAGAATAGAATCAGCATTTGGATCATAGGATGGAACAAGACTGGAACAATGCTCATTGTAAAAAATGCTGCCATTTTTAGACTTTCCTTCAACTCTTCTCCATTTTTAATCCGGTCAGCAGGGAGAACTAGATGAATGGCTGAGCTCCAGATTATCTTGCCTAGTGCTGAGAGGAGGCATTTTGCACAAGAAGCAATTGGGACAAAATAATTGCTAGTAAAACAAAAGTAACTTAGCTGCCTGAGGTGGAGAAGTAGCCACTGCCATCAGTGGGAATTTGTCCCATTGCTTTCTTACACTTTCTGAGATATTCAGAAAGGGACTGAAACGATTGACATTTCCCTCTGCTGCAAACCAACAGGTACAGATGCAGCCATTTCATATTTTAGGCTAAGTTTAAACCTGTGTGTAGATCTCAAACCAGTGCACAGACTATAAATGGGTTCCAGGAGTGGATTCCTTCTCATGAAAATGCTGCTTTCCATGCTTGGACAGGAAGAACGATGTTGTTGAAGACCAGTTAGGGATTAATGAAATGATATTTGTGTTCTCTTGTGGCTTTCAAGGATAACCTTTCTATGCCTTAGTTCCCCTTCTTTCATTAACATGAATTATCAGCAATGTTGCAAGTTTTACACTGTAACCAGTCTGCACTGGTGGGAGCAGTTTACCAAACTGTAAATTCATCGATGTTATGTTCACACTAAAAAACTTACTAGAAATTCATAAAAAACTTATTAGAAATTCAGGCATTATAACATTTTGTTAAGTGATCTGTATTACACTGGCAAACTACTGCAGCTGTTGGTGGCTGAAGGGGACAAAGGGTATCTCTTCTCAAATGAAATGCTGCTGTATCAGAAGAAAACACTTTCTCCACTCTACTAAGAATGAATATTAAGCCTCAATACTTCTGTTCTAAACACAGCAGTATATACTGAAATGCCAAAATCTGGATGAAAATCTAGTTTTTTATCGTCACATAGAATGCAAAAAAAAAACCATCTCACAATATACTTAAAAACTTTTTTATGAAGCTCTCATGAGATGTAGCCTTTCAATGGCACAGCAGCCCAGCAACACAGTCATTGTTGCAACCAAACAGAGGAGGAACTTATTCTCCAAATTTACACTTCCTTGAAATGAGTAAAATTACTGTTACTAATTCTACTGTAATATTTTCATTCTCTGTAAAGATCTCTAATTATCTATTGATAATAATACTAGGGTTTTTTTAAATTCCAATTACGCTTATTCCACATATAGTTCTCTGGGACATTCCGAGCCTTATCTTTTATGTGTGCTGTAAATATATGCTGGTTTGATTTGAGTAATAATCCACCTCCAGGAAAACCCACACAGAAGTCGTGAAGTTTTTGTGGTGCTAGACACCTTTGATTCTCTCTCCCAGCACAGCAGAGGCAGCAGATCCTCCTGAAGCCCCACGCTCCACAGGCAGAATTCCTCCCTCATTACCCAGCTTTCAGTGGAAGCACCTGCTCAGACATCTGTTCATCTGCCACACTGTGCTCCACTTACCAGGGGATGAATAATGTCTCCCCTATCACATACTGTCACAGCAGCAACTTCAAATAGAGTCATGAAAGAGGTGCAGAAGTCATTTTAATGACTAAGTAGCTCACATTTAATTTATTTTACAGTTCAAGAATGGCCATCACTGACATCCTTTCTGCTAAAGATATTGAATCTGCTCTCTCCAGCTGCCAGGGTAAGGAATGGTCGCTCTGCAGACAGAAGATGCATACCATTTTTATGTCTTAAGATGACATGCCTATCATTTTCCCCTTAGATTCCTTCCCTGTGAGATCTCTTTCTAAGCTACATTACAGTATAGCCCCTTAAATTCAGAAAGTCTCACAAGTGGTGAGCACCAATTAAAAGGGCCACGTTTTCGGCTAGAGCTGGCTTAACTCTGTCAATGTTTAAACCTGTTAAAGACTTATATTTAAATAGTCAGCTTTTTCCTTAACAATTATAAAAAAAAAAAAGCCTTAGCTCGCAGAATCAAAGTGTCATTTGTGAAACAATGACCAGCCTCAGTCCTCCTGAGAGCTGCTCAGCAAGATCAAGCCCATTTTCCAAATATTCAAAGATCTGATTTGTCTGTGAATTACTTACTTTTCTACCAAATTCTTCACCTAAGTAAGGGCTCAGTGAAAATGAGGGAAGAATTATGGGAGTTGCTTCATAGGGCACAGTAGCACCCTCTAAGTATTTATTATTAATTGCATGTGACACTTTGCATAAATCCTGATTTAGCAGAATGTGCGCTCTGGCAGAAAACTTCAAACTGGCTGAAAGGATATACGACCACAGGCACAGGGTGATTAGAAAGGGAAATTATCCACTGTATCTGCTCTTTTGCTACACCAAGGAATAAGAGAAAGAGAAGCAGGCTGATGCTTAAGAAAAGACATACATATTCACAAGGAATACGTACAATGGTAGAAACTTCAAGGGAAAATACTTAATGCCTTCTGTTTCTTCCAGCTGATGATTCCTTCAACTACAAGTCTTTCTTCTCCATGGTTGGTTTATCCAGCAAAACTCCTGATCAGATAAAGAAAGTTTTTGGAATCCTTGATCAGGACAAGAGTGGTTTCATTGAAGAAGAGGAGCTGCAGTAAGTACTGTTCAGCTGCTCTATTCCTTTAAGCAATGTAAACCTTTGAATGTGCCTGGTGTTCTAGAAGAAACTTGTTCTTTCAAAAATAAAACGCAGTTCCTCATCTTTCCTTGAATCTGTGTGGGTTTCCTCAGGTAATAAGAGCAGGCATTACCTTTATGGGACATTTCAGAGAATAAAACTCCAGCACAGCACCCTCCCCTGTCCTGTTTCAGGCTGTTCCTGAAGAATTTCTCTTCGAGTGCCAGAGTCCTCACCTCGGCAGAGACCAAGGCTTTTCTGGCTGCAGGTGACACCGATGGGGATGGCAAAATTGGAGTGGAAGGTAAGACTTCTGGAAACTTGATAAAGTTTGTGGTTTAAAATCCACACATTTCAGGCTGCATTTGAACTGTGGCATGAAGAACACATCTGAATACTTCGGCCTCATAATTCTGCCACAGGTTTTATATGAGCCAATACTCCTTTATTTTCATCACTTTATTCCCATTTGGTCTCTGTTGCACCAACAGAATATTTAGGCCCTATGTAGAGTCTGGTCTTTCCAGCCCATAATAAGAGCTTTGGGGTTAATCCTGCTGTGTGTCTGATCCACAGACTCAATGTGCCAGATCCTTAAAACTTCCTGAACACCTAAACATCTCCAAATTTCCATTTCTGCACTTCTGGCAATCTGACGCTTTCATTTTTAAACACACTTCCACCTACATAAACGTATTCTTCATCTACTATCAAACAGTGCCAGTATTACTGAGTGGTTAATTCACTAATGTGAATAAGACTGGTGTTGTTTCTCAAGGCTGCAACTGCTGCAATGCAGCACAGGATTTTGAGCTGGAGAGTCATCTGCTAAGTGCACGTTTCACCAGGCAGTCCTCCTAGGAGAAACTAAACCAAATTCCTGGAGAAAACCTCACAGGGATGATGTGAACTAGCCAGGATATTTCTTTTAGAAATTGCAGCACAGAAAAATAGGACATTACGCATCATATATTAGAGATGAAGTCACTGAAAACAGGGCTGTCTCAGCTGAACTAGGACAGGTGGCAATAACTCCAACAGACACACGTGCTAATCTTAGCCAGAGTTTGGGAGGAGAGAGAGATACACTGTTGGAGGAATTTGCTTTAGCAGCAGCTTTTGCAGCTTCTGTTTATAAGCCCCAAATAGGGCATTGTATTATGCAGATCTTAGCCCTTAACCATTGAATCTCCCATCTGAAATTACATCGCTACTGATGTTTTTTCTTTGGAATAACAAAACAAAACAAAAAAGTCCCTCTCACTGAGAGCTACAGGCTCTGCTTCCTTGGCTATTATCAGAGTTTGTAATGGGGTAAAGATAGTTTACCTATAACTCAGGATTTCCCACAAATATGAATTTACAGACACACTCCTCCTCTCCACACTTACTCTTTTTAAGGAGTGAAAAATCTGTTACGCCCCCAGAATCTCAGTTTAGCAGTAGCTTGTGCAGTGTTATAATAACTTTGGGGGCCCTCCATGCTTAGGAGTTTAAGTCATTTTTATCTATCTTTTTAAAGATGTCAAAAAACATTGTCATCTAGTTTTATTCCCCGCCTTCTCATTTTCTTCCTTGACAGAATTCCAGTCTCTGGTGAAGGCATAAACAGCATTAGACCAAAGACAACCTTGGACTGACTCTTCCAATTACCTCGTCCAACAAGCACTTCGCCCTCAGCATGTGTTTGTACATTTTTATATTGTTTCAGGCATTAACAGTTCCCCACACATGAAATTCCCACCCCAGATCACTGAGAAATCTTGCAATGTTTTGGTCACGTGGTATTGCTACATTTCCATTGTAAAGAAGGCACTTTGTGATTTTCAAGCACTGATAATGTTGAAATTGTGGCCGGAAGAGGGGAGAAAAAAATTAAAAAAACAACCAACCAAAAAGAACTTTGGTGGGGGGGGGGGAAAGCTGCTTTTTTAAATTTTGTTTAGGTTCTCCATCCTCATACTTGAGCATGCTGACTTGCCAGATGCAGTTTGGATCATCTTAAACAATGTGATATCTTCTAAGGCTTAATTGTACTGATTTCATTGAGGTTTATTTCTGCTTAATTCTCTGAATCCTTGAGGAAAAGCACTGCTAACAAGATGGCTAAAAATAATTCAGTCCCAACCCTGAAAATATGAGAAAAAAATTTAAGAGGAGTTGACACATAGCTCAAAGCATAGAATAAGGTTGTGGGTAATTTTACAAAATAAAGTACTAGGTTACAGCACGTATCCTCACAAAGTGTTTATGGCCTAAAATGTAACTCTCCCTTAAGAAGATTTATCTCTCATGAAATCTAAGGCAGCTGTGAGATAGAGGAGAAGGGTCTAATCCCAGTCTGACACTGTCACAAGTCACAGTCCCCTGACAACCTGGGCCACGGGCCTGGAGGGTTTTCCATGAATCATGACCATGTTGCTTATTGTCTCTCAATATGCACAAAACAATAATTTGCCACATCCATGAATTTCTGTGTTTCCTACAGATGAAACAACAGCCAGTCTTGCTGCTTGATTCCCTTGAAGCACTGTTACATTGTTAAATAATTGCTATCACTCAATTCTTTCATTTATTATATGAATAATCATCTATATATTCCATAATTCAGCAACTTTCTTCAGTCTGAAAACTACTAAGAACCAGTCTTCCCTTTGACAATTGTCTTAGAGGATTGAGAGCTGGTTACAGCACTGTCTTCATTAATGGGCCAAGTAAATAATGTTTGGGGTTAAATGCAGAGCTCAGCAGAGTGAGGGGACGTTGGGCATTTCTGGCTGAGTGTGTTGGAAATTTTCCCCCCAGCACTTCTCTGCCTCTTCCCCCTTGTCCCACGCTGTGGTTCCAGCTCACAGACTGACTGTCCTTTTAACACTCCCCACTGAAGCTGAACGATAATTATAATTTGGCAGCTGTTTTGAAGAAGAGAAGAAACAAAGCCTTCTGGAACTTTTATGTAACGTCCAGTGTTGGCATTTCCATGAGTTGCAAGATGATGATGTGAGGCAAGGACAGCTCCCTCATACCCAGGCCTGTAGGAGAGCTGGTCAACAGATTTAAGATGGCTAATGCAAAAGAGGAATTCCAGCAATCAGACTCACTGAAGCCTTGGCAGAATTATAATGAACATAAATCCTAATTCTATCCCAACAGCCTTTGATGTTAAATCTGGGCTTAAATTACAGCTGCTGTTAATTGCAGCACAGAAATATTTTGCATAATGATGAGACTCTGTTGGTTCCTTTCACCTTATTCATTTCCCCGCTGAAGAAAAGACCCCCGAGCAATCCAGCCCTGCAGCAATATCCAGATGTAAGACCCACATTGGCTCCTCACACAGCTGATCTCCCAACTCTCCTGTCACTGGCTCACAAGCAGGCAGCACCCCCAGTACAATAAGTGACAGACCTGATGCTGCATTCCTTCTGCCTCTGAGAGTCTCATGTGGAATGCAAGAAGTGCAGCACTGCACAGTGGCCCATCCTGTATTTCAGAGATGCTGAACAACTGCACATCCCTGCCTTCTGCTGCCCCAGGGGGATGAGGTGTTCCCCAGAATCAGGCACTCCTGTGTGTGCTGTAACTTCACTATGCTTACGAGAAAATCCGCTCTTCTGAAACACTAACCTGTGGCAAGAAGATGTGTTTTAAATCTCACTAAAACCATCCAGCCATTTCATTAGAAGAAATTACGATAAAACTCCAAAAAGTCCCCAATTTCTAAAAAATCCCATAGACTGTTCAGCAAAAACACCACCTGCTCTCTATTAAGGATTCTGTTGGCACTGGGATCCACATTTTAACCAAGCTAGAAAAGAGTATTTTTCAAGTAAAGGAAACAAATTCAAAAAATGTAAAGTTTTCTGGGAAGGTTCATTTCAATTAGTTTAATTTCAGCCAGTGACAGCCTTCAGTTTTCCTAGGGAAGAGCATGGAGCGTTCTCTGAACTTGACAATGTCATCGTGCTCGAGAAACACTTCTATTGCAGGATGTCTCTGTGAATGTCAGCTGAAGGAGCAAAGAGACATGTGGTGGTATCACAATGTTACCACAACTGATGCACAGAATCAGAGAGTAATTCCTGCTGGAAAGGTTCTCTGGAGGTCTCTGGTCCCAGGCCACCATAGGGCAGATTGCTCAAGTTGAGTTTGAGTATCTTCAAGGATGGAGGTTCCATAACCCTCCTGGGTAATTTGATAAGTAAGGATTAAATTCTCTGCATCAAGCTTTTTTGAATGACTTTCACAAATAAAACACTGCTGAGTATAGAGTTAAATACCAAAATTCTGTTAGAAATTGTTTATTCTACATCAAATCAGAAAGGATCCAACAACAACCCCCTGTATTTTCACACTGATTTTCACACCTGTTCTCGGGTTTAGAGTAAGACCATTCTACTCAGTGTAATACTCTGTATAATACTGCTTCATAATTCCCAAGATAAAGGAAATGTTGTTCATGTGTTTTACCTTTACTTAAGACAACTAAAGAGCAATCCAAAATGTGAGTGGCAGATCTGAGTTCCACTAAGCCCAAAGACTGTGAGTCCTCAAACACCTCAATCCCTGATCACCCTGTAGGGTTGTATTTCTAATCCTCCCTATATTTGTCGTTAAATAAAGATGTACTATGATCTCTTTAAAGGGAACAAAACACAAACTTCTTTAAAAAAGCATATAAAGGGCCAGGGTCAATATCCCTATCCCAGCCCAGTGCCTTAGCCACTGAATCCATCATCTCTCATAAACCAAAATCTTGGGTTGTCTTGAAAAAGGAGCAGAACCTTGCATAAGTTAAAATCTCCTGGTATTTAGTGGAAGCTGCTGCTCCTTTGGAAATCCCAACCTAGAGCCACTTGTAAACTTCAGATTCGATTTCAGCTCTCCAACTGTCCAAAATCTCACGGTCATCTTCTAACAAGTACGAGAGCACAGAAAGGGCAAGGGGATGCCAGAACATTCATTGCACACATAGACTGGTAAAGTTTCTTCTCTGAGTTAGCAGCCAGCCCATGTGGAAAATCTTTGATGCAGCATCATCAGAGGCGCCTGGAGCTCTTCACACAAACAGTGTGGGCAGAGGGGGCCAAGGCTGGATTAATTTCCTGGAATTGGTTACTGAAATAGATACATCTTGATTAAATCCCTGAACAGACACGTACCTAACATTTTCATGTTTAATTTTTCATGCATTTTAAAACATTTTAATAAGTGCAACTGTGAAATATGAACTGAAGTGTTCACATTTTATGAAGCTTAATTTCCATGTTACTTTTGCTTGCAAGCACAGAAAAATACCATTCCATTGGTATGGACTGTCTGGTACATCTCCTGTGCTGAAGGCACAGAACACACCAGCAGCTGGGATATGGCTGCTCCATAACTTTGGATTTGTTTGGCAGCATGTCCTACACTCATGAAAACAAGAAAATCAGAGGGTTTGTATATCAAGCTGCAGAAAAGAAAATCAGATCAGCACAGCAGTTACAATATCAAAGAAGGTACCCTGAAACAATGCCTTACCCTGCAGTCGCAAAGGTGTTTACTGACCCTCAATTCAAGGGGGAACTTATGTCCAAGTGAACACCTGAATACTTGAGTCAGGGAATCACATCAGTTCCATCACAACTAGATATCAGTCAGCTGTATTTCCTGGATACCAACTCTCTGCTCTAACTCCCAGGCCTACAGAACAAACTGATTTTATATTTGCAGTGATCTCCATAACAGACACTAATCTTTGGCCAGCATAAAAATAAACACAGTAAAACCTGTTTTTGTCAGACAGATGAACTAACCTGTTCTTCGTAATCATCACGGAAAGAGAGTCCTCTGGAGTTATTTCAGAGTTTTCAGCTTAGTCTTTTATATTCCTGTCTTTCAAGTGATTTCTGTTTTAAATACCTGTTCCTTCCCCTTCTCCTCCTCCCTGCTGAACACCTCGTTACACTTGTTACCCTGCTCTCATTCTGTTCCTCCCTTTTCCCTCACCCCAATAGCCCCGGAGAGATGTCACGGCTGGACTTGTCTGTCTTTGGTGCCACCTACGGGCAAGCGCTGGTTTGCCACAGAGATACTCCAAAACTTCTATCCATGAAGGCTTTGCAATCTCAGTGTGGGCTTCTCACAGGGGTTACTTCTTGAACGTTCGTTAATTCCGACACAGTTATCAGATCCTCTCTAAGCCCAGGCCACACTCTCAATTATTCCCTAGTAATCTGAAATAAAGGCAAAGCTAGATTCCCAGATATGTCAGATATATCTATTACAAATGTACCAGTACTAGTATTATTTGAAGACAATTAGGGCAATTGCAGGAGTAATGCTTCATGGGAAATTCCCATCAGGATCAGGTCCTTAAAGGTCAAAGTGTACCATGAAGATGCCCATTTGTTGCTATCATTAAGCTATTAAAAAAATTATATTTTTTTAATTCACACATCAAAAGTAATTTACTTCAATAAAATAGGTGCAAGCTGAAAGGATTTACTTTGTGTGGCACTAAAACTTCCATATTGTCTAAAGCAACATGTGCATTCCTTTGGGATATAAATATCAATCTGATTAGCTAGTACATCTTGTCAGTCACAGTAACTTATCCCCTGGGGTATCTGAGCCATCACGTGGCTCTGGGACTTCTGTAAAAGGTCAAGAGGACTTAATTAAAATCTATATAAGTCAATATCTCTGTCATTTGAACAAGAATTAAGTCAAGAGGACTCTGCAGATTTTTTGCCTTACAAAATTTTCTTGGCTTGGGGGAAACTAAGAGGCAAGGTGAGTTCAATTTTTCCTTTGGAGCTTTAGAAGACACCACAATAATTCACAGAAAGAATGCATGGAAATAACCTGAGAACCCCAAATGCTGGGCAGTTCTACAAATACCTTTGAGTTTCTCCTCAGCCTGGGCACCTGAAGTTAGAAATAACAGTGAGTCAGATGAGGGACGTGGATCTGGACTAAAGGATGGAGCAGTTGGCTCCTGCAGGGCAGATCCCCTGCTCTGCCCTGGACCTGGGCTGCAAATGCCCCCCTGGGGAGACCTGTCTGTCCTGCTGGGGCTGGGAGAGCAAGAGCAGTGGGAACTCTACCCAACAGTGCTTTTCATTTTGCAGATTTGCCATGGCTCTTTCTGGTATCCTGACAGAAGCTGAAATTGCTGCTGGCCTACAGAGCTGTCAAGGTAATATTTATGGGTTAAATTTGGCTTCTCAGTTTATCTATCAAATTCTTTTGTCCCCGCTACCTCAAGGTCCCAATTCCAATAGAAACAGAAAAGGATGTTTGAGAAAGAGATAAAGGAGGCAAGGTAATGGAAGAGAGGCAAGTTTTAATCTTTGCCAGCCAAGGTACAGGAACCCATTATCACTTGTGCATTGTAGTAATATTAAGTATGAACAAAACCCCAATGCCTGAAGTCCTGAGGCAGAAATCCTGTTTTTTCAGAGAATAATAATAAAAATACTGCTGATTTCAATAAAATATTTACCGTCAGGTTCTCTGAATTTATGTTTGAGCGAAGTATCTATTTACAAATGTATGTTCTTGCAGGATAAAGACCAGAGCCATTATTTATATTCCTAGGTTTGAGACATCATTGATGGAAAAATCCCATTAATCTGATGTAAAGTCAGGAAAATCAAAGGTTGTTACCTGGGGTTTGTAATGACCCTCACTGTACTGCAGAATACTTTGCTGCTTTTGACCAAAAGGCTGATTTTTTTTTGGTTCCAGATCTTTAACTACTTTTCTCTCCCCCTTCCTGCTTATTTCAGCTGCTGACTCGTTTGATTACAAAACCTTTTTTGTCAAAGTGGGTCTCAACTCCAAGTCCAAAGACGAACTCACCAAAGTCTTTGACATTCTTGACCAGGACAGGAGTGGATTTATTGAGGAAGAGGAACTGAAGTAAGTAAATTAAAAAAATGAGTCACCAACAAGATTGTGTTCTGTCCTCTAAAAACAAGATCAGAAATACTCCCTTTCCTTCTCTCTCTCTGGATGAGACAATGGGGGGGGGGGTGTACATGTGTGAGTGCCTGTGCTGGAGGAGCTGCAACTCAAATAACAAAGGCAAGGCTGGATCCCAACGAGAAAACTCTCTGACAGCACCAAAAAAATTTCTTTCATGTAGTGATAACTGACAGACTGTGAAGATAAAAATAGCAGTTCTGCTACAGCTGCTTCTTATTATTGCAAGAATCTTTACTAGACTGAATTCAAAGGGCTATTTTTCTCTCATCTTTCTTTCTGTCACATGAATTCTACCTTCCAGATCACATTCATCCGGCTTTGAAGCTAAAAGTAAAGTTAGAGAAATTCTTGTCACTCTTGAGGATCTGCATCTTAGGATAAAGAAGGAAGATAACGAGGAAGGGAAGACGACTCCTGCCACTACAGAGCCAGTGTTAATTTTGCCTTTTTAATCCAGTGAAACCAAGATGCCATCTAACATTTTTACATGTTGTGATGCAGCATACTCTTGCTTTCTTACTCTTACTCTCACTGAAGTTAGAGGAAGTTTTGCCCCTGAAACAGCCTGCAGAACTGAATGAGGCTTGACATTTTACAGCTATTGCCAGTATCAACCCCCAAACTCTTCCAATACTGAGCATGTCTCAGTCATTTGTCCTCTCTCCTTTAACAGACTTTTCCTGAAGCATTTCTCTGCCAGTGCCAGAGCTCTGACTGATGCTGAGACCAAGGCGTTCCTGGCAGCAGGGGATAGTGATGGAGATGGAAAAATTGGAGTGGATGGTAAGACTGCCTTTAGTAACAGGAATAATACCTGCCTTGGAGACTTCCTAATGGCAGCTCCAGGCAGCTGCCCCGCTCCAGGCACGGGATGTTATGGATTGGAGTCTGAGGTGCTCAGATCCGCTCTGTGCTGGAGAGAGGATCTAACACAGGAACTGGTCTGTATAACACTATATGCAACACTATCTTTGCCTGAAGTACCTAGTACTATGACTACACAATGTGTAGTTCCTTTAAGGAAAGATTATCAGAAAAAGCATCACTAGTTTCCCATTTTAACTTTAAAAATTAAGAAAGTAATTTTTAAACTGTGCGACTACAAAATGTGGTCCCATTTTATTGCTCTTTTATTTATTTTTCAGAGTTTCAAGCTCTGGTCAAATCTTAATGAGCAGTCAAGATAAAGACCAAGATATCTGTGCCATAAACAATCTTTGCTATTGCAAGTCTACTAGTTATTTACATATGTTGTACCCTGGAAGGTCATGAAAGACTGTTGGCAAGTGATTTCATATTGCTGGAAAACATCTAAAGTAGTACAAGCACTACTTAAACCACGTTTTAAGCAGAAGGTCTATACCACTGGGAGACTGAACTGGAATCCACTCTGCTCATCTGGATTTTGGGCATTAAAGGTACAAATAAAAGTAGTAAGAGGAGAAATTTAAAGCATCTATGTGGGCCATTGAATTTTCAATATTTGTATAAATAGCTAGCACATGTTGGAAAAAAATAGAATTAATAAAATGTCCAGGTGTAAAACCTGGTTATGGTAACTGGTATCAGTGGTATTTAATCAAGAGGTTTATGTAATGTTCCATATGCTTTTATGTCACTCTTTACACAACTGATTATGTTTCAGAGACTAATTATATGGCAGGACCTAGCACCAATTAAACCACCAATTTAAGATCAACTGGATCCAGGATGAATGTAGATTACTGAAATAGCAATACACTCAAGATCCTCCAAGGAATCCCTCACCTTCGTGCCCACCCGATGGCACTATTGTTCCACTGCCGAGGAGTCAAACCGGAATTGCAGCTGCTTGAATTAATCCAAGGGAGAGCAATTCTTGATGGCTTTAACCATCCCAAACATTATACATCCAACACGATAGCTGCTCCTACATACTCTTTAAAAATTTGGAACTCTTGACAATTCTGTTTTTGGACACTAATTTTGCAAAAACTGGTAGACAACTGTCACACGCTTTGTTTGTTGGAGCTATTTAAGAAGATGTTTCAGTATTCGCAGATGAAAGATCTTAATTTCAAAATTATCTGCTGATGCATAACAAGTTTGCGATGGGACATTATGGAGAAGGAAGGAAATATCAATACAATATTGGGAAAATCATCATATTACACAAAATTAAAGCCATCTGCAAGACTTCAATGTACGCTCAATAAAATGTTCATGACTTATAAATTAGCCAAAAATATATTTCCATTAACTCTAATGAATGAATCAGGTCCTAAAACTGTAGAATTTCCTTTAAGAGTGAAAAAAAATTTATCCATCTGACAAATTGACATTCATTCTTTCAGTGTCACCTGGGTGAGCAATTAAAAAAAGAAATTTTGCAGAATTAGTAAGCGCAGCCTGATTGTAGGGCTAAAAGCTCTCATCATTGTCACAAGATGCTTTGTATCTCAGCTGATATTATGTTTTACATTTTCACTATGCAATATGGGTCAGCAGGAGATTTTCAAGCATTGTACCAACATTAATGGCTAAATAAGAGAAGCCCAGACAGCTCAGATAACTTGTGAGATAGCAGGCAGCTCCTTTATTTAACCACACTTACTTCCACCCTGATTAGCCTGCTAGGCCTACAAATCTAAGACAATTTCACCACTTACCATTCCATTAAGAACAGTAAAAAATTAATGACAAGGTAAGTCTGATATCAGCTTCACTGAGCACTCCAGAAAGTTAAGAAGAGCTTGTGACTAGAGATGTTTTTAGACCTTTCCTTCTTTCAGTATTGCCACTTAGCAGGTTGGTGGAGAAAATGCTGCTTTCTATGTACAAGAACACACTTACTTTCTTTTCCTCTGTGTCTCTCACTCACACGGGCTGTCAGGTACCGTGAAATTTCTGCAACTACTTATTGGGTGCTTTAAGAAAGCTCTTCAAATTGTGCCTGTAAGGCCCCAGCTGGAAAGACTCCAGCCTGATCATAAACATACATTGCCAAGAGCTCCCTTAAAACACAGACCATGCCACTGGAATCACAAATTTGGAGGTCTGAGACCCTAAATATGTGGTTGCCTTTTGTCAGTGGAATTTTGTCACCTGCCTGGTGCATGTGTTTTAAGAGCCTGTCTGAATCTAGACACTTGCTTCCCGTTATTTAGAAGGCCATTTCTGTTAAAGAAATGATTTTTTATGATTATTTATGATAAGGTTAACTCTAATTATAGGGTAATTGTACTTTATGTCTCACTAAGGGTTATACATTCTCCTACTGCTGAAATTAATGGCAGGAATCCCACTAACATCAATGAGGGCAGGCAGTGGATACAGAAATAGTTGGAGGCACCTCAGTGCTATCTGCTTTGTTCTACCACGACTTCACCCACTGTGGGGCACAGTGAAATGCAGCCACATGCAAAGGGCCTTTGGTAACAGCAGAGTAGCACTGCACTTATCTTTTACATGTCACAACAGGGAGCATCCAAATTATTTCCTAGCCTCGAACCTTAGGGCATGTTTATTCTCAAAATATGCAGAAAACCTGAACAATTTAGATTCTTAAAGACCACTCCACCTGATGCTGTCTGTAATGTTGACAGCAGAGAGAAACATCTTAGGCAATTACACTTAGGATCAGAGACAGAAAATCGTGCTACTGAGTCACAGAAGCACTTCCAAGTGCATTTAAAGACAAACACATATCATATCAAATGCTAGCAGAGATCTTCCAGGATAGCTTTTTAAGTGAAAAAATACGCTGATCAGACCAGTCTCTGTGAATTAGTGCCACTGTTACTCCCTTATGTCAGTCTATTCTGCTGTCGTGTTCAGACAGAAATCCATTCCATCCACACAGAACCATGAGGACACCATTTGAGCTGGGAAAGCACAAGTGACATTTCCTCTAACGTGAGAGAAGTACCTGCTTTGCTTTAGCTCCAGACCAGAGTGCTCCAGGATCTATCTTGTATCTCGGATTCTACAGTCCAGACCTCTGCTCTGTGCTCAGGGTAATATCCTGCAGGGAAAAGGAGCTTTGTCACTCAGACTTCTGGGGCCTGGCTTCCATCCTGCATCCCAATAATGTACAGTACCAAAAAACCACATACTACTCCAGGTGCTCAAACTTTTCGGTTTAATATGGTAAAATACTACTGTCCAAGCAACAATTCAAATCAGTATTTGCAATTATTTCTATATGATTAAAGCATGTGCCTTAAGAGAAAACTGGAAGGGGCAGGATATATCTCATTTTGTTTTAGGGTCCTTTGCAATGATTAGGGCTGTAAGCACACCAGGATTCTCTGCCATCACCACTGAGGCATCAACACTGCTGAGCAACCACACAGGTTACTGGGTAGTTATTTCAGTTACCTCCAAACTCTTTACAAAGGCAGAATCTGTTATCCAGGATCACGATACAATTGGCCCTGACACAGCCAGGGCTGAAAGATGGAGTTGTGTGGGTTTTAGAACAGCTGCTACAGCATCTCTTTACACTATTGTAGCTGGTCTCAGGTTAACACCTCTCCTCTGATCTCACCTGAGACAACTGCTGATGGTTCTTTTGCAGCTGCTTGAAGTCATGGCTCTGGTTGATTGCCACTGCTAATTAACTGTGTCCTTGATGCCAAACAGAACACAAAGGGGACTAGTCCACAATCTGTCAGTGCTTCACCAAAACACAACTTTCCTCTGATTCTTAGAGAAGTAAATAGTACTTGCTTTGGAGACAATTGTTTCATATGTTTAGATTCCTGGCAAGAACTTATCAATATGAATGCTGTGTATTTCTCAGAATCACACCTTCAAGTTTAATTCTGGAAGTCTGAAAACAAAAAAAAAATTTCTTTAATACTATTTAATAAAGACACCTCAGGTGAAAACAATAGATATATAAGTACATAAATATTCAGATGAACGACTCAATAGAGCTTTCAGATGTCTCTTGTAGAGCAAAAAACCCCAAAACAAATAAACAAATTCAAAGAAAAATTAATATTTTTTCTTGACTTTCATAGGAACAAGTGCTAAACATTCCTGGAAATAATGCAATGCTTGGATTCTGTGCCAGATTTTGCACTTCTGTTAACTGCCCGTTACCTAGCAGCATTAGAGAATTTATTACTAGGGATTTTCTTTATAGCATTACATTTGCATAACATCTTTTAAAAAATCGCTTTTATAGATCTCACTTTTTGAATGCATAAAATAATTACAATCACCCAGGTTAACACATACTCCAGAAATAAGAAAAGCAGACAATTTAGCTATAAAATAAATTATCTCATTAAAACATCCCTTAATATACTAATCCCTGATTATTGCATTCTAATTGTAGTGGAGGGAACCCTGTACTTCAGATGAAGTGTCATTAATAAATAAATAAAACCCAGTAACCCTAGATTCCCACCTGTATCAATATACAGTGACATCAACTTGATTCTGAAATTCAGCTCTTTTAGGCTTTTGTAAACCATCTTTCAGCCAGGATTAGCATCACTTTTGTTGTCAGTGTTGAATTTCAAACATTCAAAGATCCCTTCGTAAGCAATAACAGCAATTAGCTCACTTTTAGTTGAGACCATATTTTAACACAGCACTAATTCTGGCCACTTTACTCCTGTGGAATGCAAGAACAGCTCAGCCCCCTGTGTGCCATGGCAGTGCAGGAGGGAACCACGTGCCGTTCCTTGAACATATGTGCTTATATTTTAATGCAGTGCCTGAATTAGTTGCAGGCATATTTTGAGCTTGAGTGTTATGTGCTCACCTTGATATTGTCATTTTTCTCTACTTCATTTCAATTTCCTCATTCTCCCCGTTACTAATTAGTGTTGGATGGCAAGTCAAACATTCAAACAAAGCAAGCAGTTCAATGAGCACTGTGTAGGAGCCAGCAGAAATAAAGGAAGTCTCCTATAAAGCACTATCACAGAGGTATAAAAAAACTCCTTTTCTCTAGAAACATGTTGTCAGTAAAAATGACAAGAGGAATCAGTAAAACAACCATTCTGTTCAAACTCATGTCAGCTTGAGATGATTATAAAGGAGAAAACTCACACAGGGTGGAAATAGGTACCTACGAGGATGAACATTATTTCAGGATCATTTGGAGAAAGATCTGACACTGCCACTGCCTGATAGACCATAATATCATGGAAATCTCAGCCAGAAAGCAACATGAGTATATAGTACTCATGAATGAAGAAGATAAATGGAAAGAACACCCAAAGGTCTGAGATCAGATCTTCAGCTTTTACGAATCAGCACTGTTTAATTTGTTTTAGTCAGACAATGTACAATAGCCCAGGGTCCTTAGGTGTAACAGGAAAGGGTTCTTCCAGTTTTCCTACTGGGAGAGATAGAAGAGAGTATCATTTCCTTACCAGATGCTGGGATTTGGGATCAAAGGTGAGCCTGATTATTTGTAGTTTAAGCCACTTTCTCTTGCTTACAAAAGATGTAGCAAAAAGGGTAAAAGTATCGTTACATTATGTCTGCTTTTTGTGCTCCTGATACCTTTTTTTCTCTATCCAAACCCAAGCAGTGCTGTGGAACAACTGCTGTGACTGCCACTTCTGTCACTGCCATTAAACCACGCAGGAGTAAACTCACTGCAGTCTATTCACTTACACAGGGTTTAAATATATTACTGTTCTACTCCACAGTATAATTTGTAACTGTTGCTGCTATAAAAAATATTACTTGTTTGGCAGACCATGCTATTCTAATTAATGGAAAATAAAGCAATGCTCAGCTAATAAGACAACATTACTTTAGATACCATGAAAGGCTGTTACACAATAAACTCTAACCAAAATACATGTGAGTTTTATTGGCTTACATCCTAGAATTTTGTCCACATAAACTTGCTTAAAGCTGGAAATAGACTTTTGTCTGAGAAGAAAAACCTCATATCTGCTGTTTTGAGTTTTCTTACTGCTTTTTGTTCCAAAATTAATGCTCTTGAAATATATAATAAACCAGCACTTATTTATACCTCCAATTCAAATGTCCTATTAAGGAAATAGATTGTGAGAGTGTGTGTTATAAGATGTATATAAGTTCATCTCCACACTGACAAAGTCTGATTCCTACAACTCACTACAACTATTATTTATAGCAATAGTCTATTATTGATTTAATGTAATTTAAAATATTCAAAATCGATTATTACATAGGCCACCTGATCATAATAATCATCTTCCAAGGAATACTCACAGCAAGGTCAACTTATTCAGCTTTACCTAGTTCAAAGTTTTGTGTCACTGAAGGCTTTGGTTTCTGTTTCTGTAATTTAGAACATGGTCAGGAAGTATGAAATGAATCTTACTGTAGAAAGATCACCCAAATTAGGGCTTGCTTTCCTCTATCTTGGTGACAAGTCATCTTTGTCAGAATGACACATTGTCACCTCTGATCTTTCATCTCCGACCTCCTCTACACATTCCAAAGGATCAACAGACTTAGGGAAAACAAAGTCATTTCTTTTCATAAGGATTTGACTGCTGGAGTCTCTTCTGAGGAGAGACTTTCAGGTGCAGAGGTTACCTGTTAACATACTTGGAGAATGAAAGGCTGTTTTGATGGCAGAGTTGTACTTAATTAAACAATAGTGGATTTATTAAAATAAAATGTTCTTCTTATCCATATTATCTTAGGATATAAATAGAAAGAAAAGTTTAATTAGTTAAGGAAGAAATTTGAGCCAGGTCTCAATTCAAACATTTGATCCATGAAAGTGTAACCTAAGCAGTGGTTATTGTCACCTTTTGAATCCTTTATAAGACAGAGTAGCAAGTAGAGCCAACATTACTATTTTGCCTGGTGTCTCCTCAGCTATTTTTCCTTTACTTAGCTGAGAAAACTCTAAAGGTGAGCTGCTGACTTGAGAATAATTAAATGAAATTACTGTGCAGAGCTGCACCAGTAGTAAGTACAATAACCATTGTTCTAAGACTTTTCTTTTAATTGCTGAAATTACATATGGATGGACCTTATATAGATAAGTATCAGTTTTCTTTTTATTCTTCAGAGCTGTTGGGGGAGACAATAGAAGCATACTTTCTTGCCTTTCCTTTTCCCACTGCATCTACTGTTATTTGTGTTGCCAGATGTCATGTGTTCCAGTTAAATTAATAGTTACACAGAGTTTAAAAACGTGCTGTACTTTAATAGGTTGAAGGGAAATGATTAAAAATTGGTAATCAACTCACAACATGATTTATGTAAAGCATCTCATGAAAGAGCATTATTTTAGCACTGAATTTTTTTAAGGAGGTAGTGTACTAAATCTTGTCCTTTGTTTAGGAATAGCAGAGATGCTGGTTTGATCAATTAGATTAATCTACTCCTAGAAGCCTTGTTATCCTTATAGCATTCTTGGAAACACAAGAAAACCAACTTTTTTGTAAGACGCATTTGCATTTCACGACTCTGTTTGCAATATACTCTTTTGCACAGGTTTAAAATGAGCCTCACAGACATTCTAAGCCCTTCGGATATTGCTGCTGCTCTGCGGGACTGCCAAGGTGAGGAAACAATTCAAACCCTCTGACCTGATTATTTTGGGTAACACAGGGCAGGTTTGACTCAGGCCTGAAGGAACACTGAACAAGTGCATACTTTAAACTGATTTCCATGATCTCTTTACTCAGCTGTCACAGAATGTTTGTTCATAACTGGTTTATCTTGGCAGTTTGCAGCTTATCCCCACGAGATTTTGTTTGATGTTTAGGAGGGTATGGGCCAGTAGGGCAAATTCATTCTCTCCTTGACAGGCTTCACCTACTGTTCATGCTTAGAACAACTCTAATGTAACAAAGCAGCGCCCTCAGACCGTTTAGGAACAGTGAACAAAGTGGTCTGGGGTTAATTTTTTTATTAATTTATTTTCAGCTCCAGATTCCTTTAGTCCCAAAAAATTCTTTCAGATCAGTGGGATGTCTAAAAAGAGTAGCAGCCAGCTCAAGGAGATCTTCCGGATTCTCGACAATGACCAAAGTGGCTATATTGAGGAAGATGAGCTCAAGTAAGGATTTTATTAACTATTTAGATGTTATCAAGCTATCAGCACTTTTTACTTTCCAGAACTGTTCTGCAAATGTGAACACAAGTTATGCTAAATGTTGATAAATCCTTCAGCAGATTGTTAAATTTGTATTTAAATAGATAATCCCTACAGAGAAAAACAAATTAGTAATACCTGCCTTTGATGCTTAGTATAGAAAAAAATAACTCCCTGGGGCTGGATTTTGATAGCAGAATCAATTGTATCAGGGTTGGACTTACAAAGCAGGAATATATACAACTAAGATTTAGCTTATCAAACAAAGCAGTGTTTGAAGGACTTGGCTATTGTGGTGAATGATTTAGAGATAGCTATCAGATTATACAACAAGCATAGAAAAATAATATTGTGTGAAAATCTAAACCTAAGTTTTTTTTTTCCAAGGTATTTCCTTCAGAGGTTTGAGTGTGGAGCCAGAGTGTTAACCACCTCAGAAACCAAGACCTTCCTGGCAGCTGCAGATCACGACGGGGACGGGAAAATCGGGGCTGAAGGTATTGAATTGTTCAAATGCAGAACGAGGCTCCTCGGGGTGTGTTGTAATGATGTGTGATTCTCTTTTATGTTGATGGTACATCAGTGTACCTCCAGTGATTTTACTGAAACCCTTGCAGGAGCAACCTTTTAAAGGTGGAAAGGGTCCCTGATCTTACAGGTTCATCCCTGCAGCTGCTTTGGCACAAGCAAGTCAAAAAACCCTGAGGAACTTTCCTGTTGCTTCTCACTCACAAATTTCCAGCTGTTCTGAAGGGAAC